ATCCTTTGAATCGGGGTTGGATAATGAGACTCATTTCTGATGAAGGCCCAAGCCAACATATGGAGAAACTGCAGCTTCCAGTTCATCTGTCTCTCTCTATAGCTGAAGACTTCCAGGTGGAAGAGAGAGTAGCCTTGGCTCTGGATCATGGGATGTTGTTCTGGAGCCCAAGCAGGGGTGAGCAGGGAAGGAAGGTGTGGGAACCTGAGCTCACTGGAGGGCAGTGGCCTTTATGCCTGAGGCAGTCAGGAACCCTTCCCTTCATCTCAGAGCACTTTGGCAAATAGTTCCTAACCCCCTCCTGGCCTTACCCTAGGGACACAGGACAGAGCTGTCTCTTCCTGCATTCTCATTGCCTTAGCTACAAAAGGGAACTTACTCCTCTGGTACAAATCTCCCACTTTACATGGAAGGCTTTCAAGGGAAAGTAACCTGCTAAGATTGCCGACCCCTGAGATTGGGGGGTGGGGTTCCACCTCCAGCTCTGATGAACCTTCCTCACCCACTCTGTTTTTTTGTTTGTTTTTTGGTAACAGGAATCGAACTTGGGTCCTTGCACTTGCATACTTGGGTCCTTGCGCTTGCGAGGCAGGCGCTGGAACCACTGAGCTAAATCCGCAGCCTTCCTCACCCACTCTGCTTCCTAAGGGTCCCTAGGCCTGTGGTGAATATAATAAAGTGTTATTCTGGCACTCGGCTCTCAGCTGAATGCAGTAGTCTGGCAAAATGCTCCAGGAACAACTGAGAAAAACTAAAGGAGAGAGAGAGAGAGAGAGAGAGAGAGAGAGAGAGAGAGAGAGAGAAGAGAGAGAGAAGAGAGAGACTATCAGTCTCAGAAGGCTTCCTGAGGGGGTGGGACTTAAACTGCATCTTGAAGACTTGGAAACAGCATTCCTGGCAAGAGGAATTCTTCAACAAATTATGGAATTTAACAGGTTAAGTGTCTTCTCCAAGATTATACAACTGGAATTTAAACCCAAGCAATCTGGCACCAGCATCCAAGCTCTTAAACAGTGTACTATGAAGGAGTAAAAGGAAAAAATGAAATGTGTCAGCTTGGCGGGAGCTAAGCTTGGGGTAGGTCTGTTGTGGCCCAGCACAGCAAAGGGGTATGCACGGCCACATCAGGAAGAATCAAGCGAACTCTGCCTTGGGCAGATCTGGGAACCAGTGGCCGGCTGGGGAGGCAGAGCAGAGAGGAGGTTGCAGATGAGAGGAAAGGTCAAGTTGGCCTTTGATTGCTAGGCAGGGCAGTTTCTCTGGCAGAAGAGAGTGGTGGGAAAGAGGCCCTGGCACCTGGTCCCATTTCTAGACTCAGTTCTGCTTTAAAACTGGACAGAACCAAGACAAGAGAGTCTGGCCTTTCTGGATTCCTGGGTTTGTGGAGTGAGTGGAGCAAAGAGACCAGGGCCCAGCAAACCAAGTAAGCCAGACACTTGAGTGTCTTCGGTCTGACTTGCCTGTGTGTCTAGCCTGCTGCCTCCCTCTTTCTTTGCAGCTAAAGGGTCCTCCCCTCAGCAGGTGAACTCTGTCTCTCAGCCCCCTGACTCCATCTCTGGGGGGAGCGTTCTCAATCAGGGTTTTGTAGATTCTTGAGGCTGATTCCTCTCCAAACCAGTCTCCACTCAGCAGTTAAATACCGACCCTTCCTAACTTGCAATGGGCTCACATCCTGATAAACTCATAATAAATTGTAAATGATGTAAATAATGTAAGCTCTTAAGACACTTAACCTCTCAAATACTATGCAGTAGCCCAGGCAACATTAAACATGCTCAGAACACTTACAGTAGCCTTCAGTTATGCAAAATCATCCAATGCAAAACCTATTTTATAATAAAGTTAAGCATTTCATGGAACTTATTAAATTCTGTGGCGAAAGTGAAAACTCAGGATAGTTGCATGACTACATTTTCATACCATCGTAGAAGTTGAAAAACTGTAAGTCAAACCATTATATGTTGGAGATTACAGTTTTAAAAAATTACTATATAGGCTGGTGATATTCATCTAGGGGTAGAGTGATCGCCTATCCTGTATGAGTCCCTGGCTTCAGTCCCCAGAACCTCTAAAAAAGAATGTATATGGGGGCCGGGGATTTAGCTCAGTGGTTCCACTGCCTGCTTTGCAAGCGCAAGGACCCGAGTTCGATCTCCGGTACCAAAAAAAAAAAAAGAAAAGAGTGTATACGGTTATTATGCCTCTTTGTCTTCTGGTCTCCCTGGGGTGACCACTCTTCAGTCGTGTGCTCCCACTAGGCTACCACAGGCCAAAGCAACAGGGTCAAGCAACCATAGACTGAAACTTCGGAAACTATAAGCCAAACTAAAGTTTTCCCTTTCAAGGAGGGAGTGGGTGGAGAAAAACTAATAAAACATTTTTGTAGGTTTAAAAAATCTCTTGCTGGGTGTGGTGGCACAGGCCTATAATCCCAGCGTGCTTGGGAGGCTAATGAAGTAGGAGGACTGCAAGTTCCGGGGCCAGCCTGGCCTATAATATAGCAAGACTCTGTCTCAAAGAAAAAGAGAGAGAAAGAAAAAAATAAAATAAAACAGGACCCCCCCCAAAAAACTGACAATATCAAAAAATCTTCTTGCCTTCAATCCCCAGCAACACAATAATAATAATAATAATAAAAGATAACAAATGAAAATAATAAATCTGCATGACTAAGGCCCTGTATCAATCCCCAGCACCAGAAACAACAACAACAAAAACTCTTACAATTTTTGTATTTTGAAAAATTTCAAACATTCAGAAAAATGGAAAGGAGCACCCACTAAGCCAGGTGCAGTGTTGACTACCTGTAGTCCTAGCTATTCGGGAGGCCGAGATGGGAGGATTCTTTGGGCTGAAAAGTTCAAGCTTGGCCCAGCGATTGTCGACCTTCTGCTTTATCTGTCACAGCTTCTAGAGAATGGCATGGACACGAAGTGCCAAAATAACAGCAACCTATGCTCCTGAGAGGCAGGGCCTGGACGCCTCTCATAGAACCCAGAGGATCTCTGCCCCGGCCATGGCCAGGAACATAAATGAGAAATCTCTGGAATCAGCTAATATCCAGTGGAATCCAAACTCATGTCTCTCACTTTCAAACCAGAACTTTATGTATTACATTAGGTCTTCTGCCACACTAATTTTCTTTCTTTTTTGATGACACGGATTGTTATCCTGTTGAAGTGCTACATTCTGAATTTACCTCCCTCGCGGTGTCCTTCACACAGTAACATTACGAACTCTGGCACGCCACTCCCTTCCTGAAAACCCTGTGCCGAGCTTCTCTGTTGGACCTTGGATAATGTCCAAGTCTCTTGTACTGATCCACAAACCCCACATGGAATGGCCTAGTCTCTTCTCTCCCTTTGCTCAGTTCTGGATATCCTGGCTTCCTTCCAGTAGTTGAACATAGTAGTCTTAATGCCCCTCCTTCATGTATAGCAATTTGTAATTACATAGAGTACTTCCTTGTTAATTTACTTGGCTGACTGCTGTTTTACTCACTGGCAGCAAGCTCTAGGACCAGGGAGAACAAATGTGTCTCAAAATACCTAACATGGGACCTGACATGTAGGTATTGGTCAAATCAGTACATCCTACATGGATGGGTAGATGGATGGATGGACAGATAAATGGGTGGATGGATAGCATAGAGGAGTGAACAGATGACCCTGCATGCCTGGAACGTCCATCTCATAGGAAACTGGGTCTCCAAGCTGCTCTGCAGGAGGCTCCAAACTCATTCACTTGAACCACAAACTGCATTCCAGTGCCAGCTACTGCTAAGGGTGGTAGGCCTGATGTCCCAACTGTTCGACTTTCTTTGGGGCATAATTTAAAATGTCAGCGATGCCTTATCCCACTGGTAGGGTCAACTTGCTGTGCCAGGTAGTGGCTTAAAAGGCCTCACACACCTTAATTATGTAAAGTCCACCTACAGTCCAGCTGAGAACATTTTTGGTCTTTGAGCACTGAGGGGAAGAGGTAGACCCTGGAGCTGAGCTGCAAGCAGCAAATCCCAAAGTAATATCTGCAATAATTTAGTTAAAGTTGTCAGAGCAAGCGGAGAAAGGAATCCCTGCTGGCCCTAGCTGTGCTTTGGCCACAGGGCGGGGTGGCCAGGTGTGAGAAGTACACAGATGAATGAAACCCCACCTCTGGTCTCCGGCGGCAGTCTAATACAGAGACAACTATTGTCACTGGTGATAGTCGTTAATACTTTTACGTAGGGTGGAGGAGTTAGGGAAGGCTTTTTAAAGGAAGTGGCATCAGAACCACTTTGAAGAGGGAGGAAGAGTTCCAGATATGCAGAAGGCAAAGGCATGTGGGCAGAGGAAGGGCATGAGCAGATATGATGGGACATGAGTGTAGTCAGTGCCCGGAGACAGGAGGATCCAAGGTGGGGGGCACAAGGGCACAATGGGAACCAGCAGAGCAGAAATCCCACAAGTCTGAGCAGGGGCCACATTTTGATGAATATGAATTCTAGCTGAGACAGAGAGGATGGTCATGGCTGAGCTGCAGACCGGCAGCAAGCAAGGTCGAGGATCAGGCTGTCCAGGGCAGATGGCACTGAGGAAGACTCTGTGTGTCTGTGGCACAGACTCACTGCAGATGAAGAGGAATCCAGGTGACTTTCACATGTGTGTTTGGGGCGAATCCTGAGGGGCGTGGGGTTTCAGATAAGGCTTGGACTTTGGCCTGCTGGTTTTGAGATCCTGGTGGCAATGCTCAGGGTGCCTACTGCGGTGGCTGAAAAGCTCAGTTGCGTGAGCTTGGGGGCGGTGCCTGCCAACAGGAGAGCACATGGAGAAAAGGCAAGAGAGGCTGGAGCTCAGGGAACCAGCATTTAGCGTCAGGCGCTATCTCCTTCCCCTGCCTGTCTCTCCAGCTTCAAATCTGCTCTCAAACTGCACTCCAGCCATCTGGGGAGCCTCTTCCGGGTCCCCAGGGCTGCTCCCTCGGAACCTTCCACCTTCCCTCGGAGCGGATGGAGACCGGGATGAGGTCACAGAGCCCGTGAGCGCCCACCCAGATTAATCTCTGAGGGAAAGGGCCTGATGGGATGATGTGACAGAAGAGGGAGGACTGCAGGCGCTGCTGGAAGAGGGGGACTGTGTAAGCAAGTCGCACTGAGGGGAACGGGTGGGGAGGGAGGGCCCTGAGCGGGAGAAGTAGATTCAGGAGAGAGCCAGTGTAGAGCAAGGGCTGGGGAGACACAGAATGGCGGGGAGGGCCAAGTCACAAGTAGACAAGAGCTGGTTTTCAAGGAAGAGTCAAAAAAATTGTCTTTCATTCTGAGTTAAGATGGAAGAAATGGACGAATGCTATTTTCTTAATTCTTCAGTTTCTTCAGCGTTTAAAAGACAAGTCTCCCAGAAGGTTCACACCACCTTATCAGTAACTTACACCTCAACAAAAAATTATTTCCCGGACCATTTCCGACTTTAGGTCTGTGTCGACGATAGCAGGCCAAACCTGAAAGGGGGACAGGGGAGGAACTCCAAAATGCAGGGTTTGAGAACCAGCCAATTAGAGCGGCTAAAGAGAGAACCTTCCCATCCGGAAAAGGCGCTTCTTCAGAGGTCGCTGGGACCCCTACAACTGCCTGAAGGTTGAGAAGTGGGGTCCAGGTCCTCTCCTCCGGCAGGTCGTTGGGGGGCTGCTCCTTGCTGGGGTTTTGCTTCCAGAACCTGCCCGCAGTACCCGCGCCCCGGTGGGGGGGGGTGCTTAAAAGGGCAATGGCAGAGGCAGAGGCAGAGGCCTGACTAGGGCCTGGCACGTTTGGGGCTGCAAGGCTTCAAACCCCTTACCAGCCCGGCTCGCCCAAGACTATTTGGGAGGAGTTATTGGGGAACCCCATGCTGGCAGGTGACTGGGGGAGAGGAGCAGGCCCCTCATCCTAGCCTAGCACAGGTTCCGACTTGCAACACATTTCTCTGGGGCCCATCCCAGCTCTGCTTGTCAGACTCATCCTGGGAGAGCAGCCAGGGCTGCCCCAGGCCCCCCGTGGGAGGCATGGGGGTTGGGGAGAGGTGTTCTCCCGACCCAGGGTAAACCGGAAAAGCTTCGGGGAAGAAAAAGCAGGACAAGTCGGGTGAGTCAGTTCCCAGGAGAGAGGTTTCAATCTGGGAGTGTTTGGCTGAACAGCTGTCCAGCAAACTGGACTCAGGAAGGCCCCTGAGACTCACATCGAGTCCAGTTTGTCCCTTGAAGCCTAGCTTCACAGTATTTCTAGAGGTAGAGCCCAGACACCAGGTCCCCAAGTGTCTCTTGTCTGAAGCACCCAGAGCTGCATCTTGGGCCCTGAATTCCTGGGTGTGGGAACCAAGGGTTTGTTAGGGACCCAAGGCTCTGACTCACCCCATTGGGCCTCTGGGGGTTGCTGGCTAAGGTAACCTGGGTAGCTGAGGTTGGAGATGGGGCAGGTCAAGGTGCCAGGGATGAGGGCATCAGCTGTGGGTTGTAGAGGCAAACCCAGGGTGGAGTCAAGGTTACTTGGGCCTGTATCCAATCTTCAGCTTAGCCTACCCTAAACAAGGCTTGCATCAGCCCCAAGCCGCTGTGTCAGGGAGAGGAGTCTGGTTTTTAGCTCACTCTGGAGGAAGGTAAGCCACACCTTTCCCAAAAGACTGAGTTCTTTGAAAGCAGGGACTGTAGCCCATTCTTCCTGTGTTTTTTGTTTGTTTGGTTTGGTACTGGGGATCAAACTCAGGACCTTGCGCTTGTGAGGCAGCCGGGAACCACTGAGCTAAATCTCCAGCTCTGTGTTATAAATCTTGCTCCCAGTGGTGCCTGGCACAGGGTCAGCACTGTTAATGACTGCATGCCCACCTGCCAATGTGTAGTTTTTATTTTTCTTTAATGGTACTGGGTGTTGAACTCATGGGTGCTTTACCCAAGCTACATTCTCAGCCTTTATTTTTTGAGACAGGAGTTCACCAAGTTCCCCAAGCTGCCCTCCAATGTCTGATCCTCCTGTGCCAGCGTCCTGAGCAGCTGCAATTCCAGGCATGTGCCACCTCGCCCAACTCAGTATGTTATGTCTGTCCTGCAGGGAGGGGCTTCAGTCATGGTCATTGTGGCTTTAACTATCATTAGCTAGCTTTATCTCCCCTGGCTTCAGGGAACAGGGGTATATGTTCTGCTAAGAGACAAGGTGGCTCCACGCAGCAATCTTCCCAGCCAGGCAGGGGCTCACACAAGGTACCTGCATAGACGGGGCAGACAGGCACAGCTGACACAGGGAGCATGGCAGCTCAAATCGGGAGTCTGCCTCTGTATACAGTGACAGTGTCCAGGCTCCAAGTACAGTCAGCTCCAATAAATTAGCCAGGTGAGGTTAGCCACCTAGAACAAGGGAGGAAAGAGCCAGGCCTAGCGGCTGAGTCCCCAGCATCTGCTCTCCCATAGAGCTCTCTACGCCCTGGTGAAGAGCAAAGCCTTCTGCTGATAGGAAGATCGCAGGGCCAGAAGGCAAAGAGCTTAGGAGTTGGTGCAGCTGTGGAGACCCCCTAGGCCAGGGCTAACAGAGGATGGTGTTCAGGGTAACTGCAAGTCTCTAGCAAGGTTCTAAAATGGAGTGGGTGGAGCAAACAGTCTCCTGCCGTGTAGGCTGGTTTTCCTCAAATGTTGAAGCTACAGGAATGTGAAAATTTCTGTCCTTCTGAATTATAAATGGGAGCAGCTTGCTCTTTTGCCCTCCTGCCCTGGCTTTGTTATGAGAGCTGCCGGCAATGGGCTACAGAGGCTGTTTGTAGGTCCTCAGTTGGCACTGCAGGCAAGGCAAGAAGGCCATGTGGTCACCCTTTTGGGTGTCCCAGTTTTGATCAGGTATCTGGGAATAAGATGAATAGGATCAGCCCTCAGTGGAAAACTGATACCAACTTCCTCCTTGGTACCAGCTCCAGTAGGTCCAGGGAGGTTGCTGCTTAGGGATTTGGGAAGCTGAGAAGAGCTGGTGGCTCCTAAATGATAACGAGGCTATACTTGGGCTCTCAACCTCCCAAAGAAATAACAAACACAAAGCACCACTGGGGAGCCAGAGCTTCTACCTGAGCACTGTCTATCTACCCCTCTCTGTGTCCTCCTACCTTCCAAAATGGAACAGGTATAATCATGTCCAAACCCTACCTGCCAGGATCATCACAAAGATAAAAGGGATCACCCGGAGGAAGTACTAGACTAATGCAAGGTGTTATTAAGAGTTGAAGAGTGTAGATTGCAGATGAAAGGCAGCAAGTAAAGGAGCCTGAATACCATTCTCCTTGGGGAATGGTCATTAGGGCAGTACTGGGAGCTCCTGGGAAGGACTAAACATTCTTCCTGCACGCTTCTGCCCTGCCAGCTATCTGAAGCTTCAGGAGTCCCAGCAATGAGCTGTCCTGTAGCCAGTTGTTAAAAAGGCCCCAAAGCACGCTCCTGAAGCTTCCGGCTCTTTTGGAGTAAGTAAAGTTCCGCCCACTTCAATGCCTCACAATATCCTTCCCTTTCCTAGGGAATACAAGAGCCAGGGGCTTTTACATGAATTTGGCTCTCCAAGCTACATCTACCTCACTCTTTTAGGCAGGGGAGGATTTGTATGGGATCTGGTCCTGCAAATTTGTGTGTCTAAGGGTCCAGGTTTTCACTTCCCCTTTGAGCCTTTACTAAATCTACGCCACCTGTACCTACTCACTTACCCTCCCTACACCTACTGAGAGGATCTGACTTGGTTAGCACAGCCTTATTTGGAAGAGAAAGCATGAGTGCAGTCCCAGGGGAAACTGAGACAGGTTCAAGCCTCAGGAAGAAGACGTTGGAAGTCTGAAGCCCTCCCCAGGGATGCTTTATTACATGGTTTTGTCAGTCATCGGTGGTGGGCCCCATGCCCACGCGAGCAGACAGGAACACCTGCGGTGTGCATGGCAGATGGTTCCTGTTAGCAATGCAGTCAGATGGGCGGGGTGATGAGTAGGTGCTTGGCCATCCTGCTCCTGGGCAGCCTCTGAGATCCCAGCAGATGGAAACGAAGCCTGGCAAACTTCAAGGAAGGAATGTTCAGGCATCAGTGACTTCCATGTTCTGCAGCTGGTTTTCCAGGGTGACATCTCTTGTTGACACTTTCTTTTTGCTGGCCTCATGTTGTTTCTTCTGCTTCTTGGATGGCTCCTGGTCAATGGGTGCAGGCTTCACAAAGGGGATCAGTTCTTGGAGCCCTGGGAGGGAAGAACCAACCAAATGACCTGTCACTTCTCAGTCATAACCCAAGGACCTCAGGGGGGATGTTAAGACAACGATCCCTTTATACGTCCATAACAGGAACTGGTTTTACCCATTCTTTTCTTCCTCAGTCTAAATTTTAGCAGTACTTGGATATCACACCTGCACTGGCTTTCTCACCAGGCACCAGAGGACAGGAAGTTACTCAAACTGGGTTCTCATCTGCCAAGCTGATAAAAAGAATGTACATTCTGAAAGGGATCTGTCAGTCACAAGAGTGAGAAAACAGAAAAGAGAGGCAGGGGAGGTGAGTTGGGAGTTGTACCTGGCGGCATGAACTCCTTCAATTTCTCAGGTATGATGATGCCCTTCTCTGTCTGGTAGTTCTCCAGGATGGCGCAGATGGTCCGGGTAGTGGCACACATTGTAGCATTGAGCATGTGGACAAACTCCACCTGGAAGAGAGGGCACCAGAAGAAAGTTAAAAATCAACCTTTAGCTGTTCTCACTGATGACCAGGAACCATCCACTTAGCCAGAACTCCCCCAGCTAGAACTATCTCATCAAAACAACAGGCTCTACCTGTTTCCAACTTTTTTAAACACTTGAATTTTGTTTAGCATTACTGTCAATTAGATTAACTCTAGATAGATTCCTTATGTCTAAATGAGTGAAATGTGTTAAGTCCCAGTATTTTGAGAAGAGCTGACAGGAAGGAAGGAAAATACCACTGTGGATCCTGCAACTTAGATCAGGTCCTGAAGATTGGGTTTGAGAGGTAAACTTACAACCCAACCTTTTTGCGTAAAAGGAGGGAAGACACCACCACAAAGCTATTCTGTATAGATAGATTTTTCTTTCTCTACAGTTAAGGAAAACAAAGCCAAAAAGAGAAAAGCTAGAATTACCCTGAACAATAGGGCTAGACTCAGGCTCCTAAGAGAACCCAGTCTTAATTCAGAAGTCATTTCCAGATTTCCTTTTTGGTTTAGATTGAGAAGCTCAGATTGTCCCATGATGCTGAGAACTAATGTGCTCCCATGGCTGATAAACAGCACAGGACAGGACAGATGTGCCTGTGCTGACAGCCCTGCTGCCCACCTAACTAGGGGCTATCTACCTTGTCCATCATCTTCTTGGTCTTCCCGTATCGGATTCGGAGCCGGCGAGCCTGATAATCCGTGCAATTCGAACAGGAGACTAACTCACGGAAAGCTCCTGAGCCTGGAAACCAGGCCTCCAGGTCGAGCTTCTTACTAGCAGCATGATTCAAAGAACCTGGAAAGAAAACCCCACAGAATTCAGGAAGGACGGATGCCACTTGTGAAGGCCAACCTCCTGTGAGCCTGCATCTTTCTTTACTTTACATCTCATTCCCAGGAGTGAAATCGTGCTTGGTTCTTCTCATCACCAAACACCCCCAAGTGAGAAGGGTGTGATATTTTAATGAACGTGGCTAATGAGCTGGATTGCAAGCTACCTCTTTGTGTGGCAGTGCAGCTGGTGAAGGTGGTATTTGTGGGAAATAACAGGAAAGGGAGGCTGAGAAGACGACAGATCCCCTACCTGAGACAATATTCACGATGTGGTAAGGGATCCCCAAAGCCTGATAGAACTCTTCTGCGGTGGCAATCATCTCTTCAAACATCTCCCATGACTTGTTGTCATGAGGTGATGCGTACACAAACTGCTCGATCTGCAGAGGGGGCCCAAGGAGACAGGGACAGCAGCACACAGTGAATAAGCGGCAGAATGGAAGTAGAGATATCCTGGCCTAGTCTTACACTGCTGGAAGCCTGGCCAAGCTAGGCTCCCAGCAGGACGGAATTGTGTTTTACTAGAGGGGCTGCAACAGCGAGAACACCAGCTTTACAGAGCCACACGGACTCGGTCCTCACCAGCCACTGTGTGGAGTGCTTTCCACATGCTGACCGTCCTATTCCACACAGTTGGCCTAGTGAGGCGGAGACCATTATCCTCTTCTTACAGAGGCAGAATGTGAGCAAGAGGTTAAGCAATTTGTCCATGGTAAGTGGTGGAGTTAGCATTTGGATTCGGGAGCCTGGTTCTAGTCTACACTCAGCCACTATACCATGTGCTTCCCAGGCTCTTCCCACAGAAAACAGTGCCAGGGCTGGGAGGGAAAGCTGGAGCCAGGGTAGGCCTGAGAACACACATGCTGTCCCTCCTGTGACCATCTGGTCAGGGAGATAAAGGCTGCTACTTCTACTCTGACCTTCCACTCACCTTCTCAAATTGATGGACTCGAAAGATGCCACGAGTGTCACGGCCATGGGAGCCCACCTCCTGGCGAAAGCAGGTGGACAGGCCGGCATACTTGATGGGCAGGTCTTCTGGCCGCAGCCATTCATCCCGGTGTAAAGCAGCGATGGGCTGCTCTGAGGTAGCAATCAGGTATTTCTCATCATAGGAGGTATCATCAGACTTTTCACTGCCTTTGCCAATCACCTATAGGAGGAAAGACCTATGCTAGGTAAGACTGAAGGGGGACACAGCCTGTTTAAGAAACTGCAGGAAAGCCGGGTGTGGTGGTACACACCTGTAATCCCAGCACTTGGGAGGCTGAGGCAGGAGGATCACTGTGAGTATGAGACCAGCCTGGGCTACATAGTGAGTTCCAGGTCAGTCTCAACTACATAGTGAGACCCTGTCTCAAAAAACCAAAAAAAAAGAAAAAAAAAAGAAACTGCAGGAAAGCTACAAATGACAGGGAATGAAGTTTTCTTCTGTCTCTGCCTAGGAGTAGGGAGGGGATGTTAAGAAGACAAGGAAGGGAACAGTTCTGTCTGATATGGGATCCCTGATGACACAGATCAAAGGCAAATTATGGAGATATGTTTCACTTTACCCACCCAATAAAATGGGTGTACTGTCACAGCCTATAACCCCAGAACTCCAGGAGGCTGAAACAAGAGGATCACAAGTTCAAGTATTGCCTGGGAAACTCAGCAAGACCCTGTCTCAAAATAAAACATAAAAAAGGCCAGGGGGCCGAGGATGCAACACAGCACATACACATACACTCCCAGTGTGTGTGTGTGTGTGTGTGTGTGTGTGTGTGTGTGTGTGTGTGTGTGTGTGTGTGTGTATCATATATCATGCTTTTTTAGCAAGGAAACTCCCTAAACATTCAACAAAAGAGAAGCTAACAATCCATAGCTATGTTGATTTTATATTATGCAGCCAATTATGAATCTGATGAGCCTAACTGCACTTGCTAATGGGAACAAAACCTTCACTTCCAACTGAGTAAGTTTTAAAGGAAAAGGACAAGTGAGTTAGATTTGCCGTGATGGACAGCTCATAGCAGAAACATTCTATAAACAAAATTTTTTTTTTAGTACTAGAAAATGAACCCAGGGCCTTTGTACTGAGCTACATCTCTGGCCCGTTCTTCCTTTCTTTTGAGTCAGAGTCTCATTAAATTGGTAAGTTGCCCAGGCTGGGCTTGAACTTGCAACCCTCTTGCCTTAGCCTCCCAGAGTGCTGGGATTATAGGCATGTGCCACCAAGCACAGCTCTAGAAATCCTGAGTGCTGGATAGACTAGTGCTACAGCTGGTGTCACAGTAACCTCATCAGAATGACATTCTGAATTTCAACTTGAATATTATGGTTCTCCCTACGATGGTCCATGGTTGGTGAGACGCCATGAACTATGTCATACCCACCCCAAGTAAGTGCGTCTGGTCCTATGGAGGCTCCCAGTCTCGAGTCAGCATTGGGAGGACATGGCAAGGGGGCTGGAAGACTGGTACCATTTTTATCATTTCCTTTTGTTTAAGTACTCAATGCGCTCCTGGTGACAAAGTGTGTTTAATTATATATATGTCATACAGACTACAGGGGGAGGTGGTGAAAAAGGCTCTGTATCCACACTGACTAATATAGCAGCACCAATTACATATGGCCATTTACACAAAAAATTTGCTTCCTCAGTCATACTAGGCTGATTTCAAGTACTCGATAGCTACAGCTAGAACACTTCCACTATAAAGTGGTTGGACAGCACTGCTCTGAAGCACTGGAGTAAAGCGTCATAATGAAGAAGTTATTCTACCAAGATGCCCCAGACTACTTACCTTATAAAGTTCTTCATCAAATTGGCTGAGCTGAGCCACTTCCTGCATGACCTCCTTCCTCATGAAAAAGGGGGTGTAAATGGGAATGTAGCTCCGACTCGCCAAA